CCGAGTATGATGGCTCATCTTCATCTTCATCTCGACTGTGATGTGGAGTCACACACCCACCCATAAGAGCATCTGCAAGGTGCAGCCAGAGAGCTTTTGGTGGGGAAGGAAGACCCACCCACTTCGAGAATGAGCTCCGGTTCTAAACAAAGGAGGGAAAGGGTGCCAGCAACAGCTCTCTGCTTTATAGACTGTCCGGATGGAAAGAATTCCAGATGCTATAAGCTTGGCCACATCTCCTGATTAGGATGGACCTCGCCCTCTCAAACTGTGAGCTAAGATGAACTATTCCGTCCACGAGTTGCTTTTTGTTGCCTATCTCATCACAGCATGAATATAGTAATTAATTTATCTCCAAAAAGGCGAGGAATTGGAAAATAAATGAAGATGAAGAGGATGGACCACCTGGAATATAGGACTGGACATAAACGCCCCTTGAAGTCACTTGTTAAGACACTTTGTCTAAATTGCTAAGATCTCTAACTGATCCCATAATAAAGCCATGGGCCATCCTCAGTGATGTTAGGAGCTATTTTTCTGTCCAGGGAAATTTTTTTAACCTAGTGCTTGGATGAAGGGATAAAAAAATATGAAGAAAATTTAAAGCATTGCTTTGGATTAGTGGATATTTGAACTTAACAGTAGAGTATTTCATAAATTATTATTATTATTATTATTATTTTTTTTTTTTGAGATAGGATCTCATGATATAGCCTTGGCTGGCCTGAAACTCACTATACAGATCAGGCTGGCCTTGAATTCACAGAGATCTACCCACCTCTGCCTCATGACTGATGGGATTAAAGCCATGTGCCAGCAAACCCAACCTACTTATAGACTATTTTAAATGGAAGCTCTCTTAGTATCATTTTAGAACACTTCTTCTATAGTACATTTGAGTGAGACAAATTCAAGGCCTGGTTTTAACCAACCACCGTAGCAGTCCGTAGTCTAGCTTTGAGAACAAACAAGATTTATAAAGAATCCAAATATCAGACCTACGTTCTTTTCCAGAGCTAAACGGCAGGGATGCATTTTGAAGAGACTCTGGCTTCCAAACTTCTTCCTTACTTGCCCGAAACTTTCTTATTGAATATTCAGAAGCTTCTTTGGAAAACATTATAAAGATTTTCTAGGTACAGTGTCATTTCAGAAGTACCATCAGCTCACCACAGAAGGAAGGAGAAGCTAGCTGGCGATGAAGGGAAGGGTCAGGAGGGTGGAGAGGAAGAAGGTTGGAGACACAGTGAGTGGCTTTGAGACACGAGTTACCGCAGAGCTCTGCGACCCCAAAGACAGACTCGGCTGCCAAGTCTTCTCATGACTTCAGAAAGCCCTCCTGCCTGTATGTAGGGGTTGTGTGCTGAAGACCCAATCACTAACACTAAGCGGCTGACGCACAAACAATTCTCCAGATGCTTTTGGAAAATAAGAAGAAAAACAATGGAAGTAAGTGTAGGAGTGCTCTCTCTGTCTCCCAAAGAAGAGGGGAGTGGAAAGCCTCAAACGAAATGTTGTCCTAGCTCCACTTGGCTAATTTTAGTTATCTTGGTTCATGTCTATGATTCATCCCTAAAGCTGTGAATTGTTGAGGAGGAAGGAGGAAAAAAAAATGACTTAAATGTCAAAGAAGTAGGAACATAAATATAGTTTTCTTTTTTTGGGGAACTAGAATTCCAGGATCTGGGTATCTTTTTTTTTTTTTTCTGCCCATGACTTCAAATTTCTAGAAAATTAATGACTTCAGTAAAAACACCATCAAGAAACGAGACAGGATTGATTCCAAACCATGACACCTGACGTGTTCTTCTTCAATGTGGTTAAACTAGGCACCAGTGAATGATCCTATGTGACTAAGTATGATGGAAACGTGATACGTAGACTGTGGTAATATGTGGGACTCATGAAATAGGACGGGGAGAAATACAGGCTGATGAGTAGAGTCAGGAATAATTCCGGGGGGTGTCATGCCCACACGGAGGAGGAAGGCATGGCTGTATAGTGCTCAGACAGTCTTTGGCCTGCTGAGGAACAGGGGTGGAATAGAGATGGCTTGCTGAAACTCTATATTGAGAAATGAATTTTTTTTTAAAATTTTAATTTGTGAGTAAACTGGTTTCCATCAGTTTGGAGACTAGAAATAGCCCTCACTTACTCACACTCGATTTGGGCATTTCACTGACGTCAACAACATCCTCTAAGGAGGATCTGACCCACGGCCCAGGGACTACATGCGCCTCAGATGAGTGTACCCCCTGAGCGCCAAACCATAAACTTATTTAAACCATAATTTTTTTGGTGACTCATTGATGTGGTAATATCTTGCTTGTGCAAATAAAGCCTGTCTGAAAGTCAGAGGATGGAGCTTGTCACTAGCTAACCATACAGGTCAGGAGGTCTGGGCAGACAGACAGGAAGTGAGATGGCTGTGTGGGAACAGGAAGTAAGGTGGCTGCTCGCAGACAGGAAATGAGGTGACTAGACAGAGAGAGGATATAAACAGGAAGAACCAAGAACTCACTCTCTTGTGTCCGCTAGAAGCTAAGGAGGTAAAAGGTGGCTTTGGCTGCCCCTTCTTCTCCCTGATCTCTCAGCATTTTCCTGTATATCTAACTCTGGGTTTTTATTTTTTAGGCCAATTAAGAACCCCGTTTACACAATTACATGGTTCCTAAGATGACAGCATGTCACAACGTCACAAGGTTGGACACATTTCGTCACTGTCTGCCTGCCTCTTTCTGGGGGAGTAAAAGAATACGGGTGTCTAGATTCAGCCCAGGAATTAGTGACAGAGTAGTGTGTAGAAAGCAGAGGAGAATTAGTTTCAAGGGATGTGTTAATGGGAAGAGCTCTCAGCGGAATGTTGCTACCAGTGCAAAATTGGGAACGTCGGGTTCAGCATCCGCCCGTCTCCAGCCTCCCCAAACTTTCTTCACTATTCTCATAGTCCTCCCCCTTCCTGCCCACCTCACGCCTGTGTATTGCGGTGAGCGGTAGCAGTCAACTACGGCCCAAGGTGTCACTTAGCTAATGTGTCCAGCATGTCCTGTAGGTGACCTGGCAGGATGCTCTGCTGGATGTGGGTTGGATGCTGGAGGCTGCCTGTCTGCACTCTCCATTTCAGACAGGCTTGAAGGGCTAATGTGAGTTCTTGCCCTCTGCCCTCTGCCCTCTGTTCGCCTTCACGTGTCTCTTATGACACCATGACTATGACAATTACTATGGCTTGTAGAGAGTTCTTTTTTTTTGGAGACAGGGTTTCTCTTGGGCTTTGGTAGTTGTCCTGGAACTAGCTCTTGTAGACCAGGCTGGTCTTGAACTCACAGTGATCTGCCTGCCTCTGCCTCCCAAGTGCTGGGATTAAAGGCGTGCCCGGCGTAGAGATTAAGGATTTATATATATATTACGAAACCAGCTCACTATTTATGTATTTACTTTTTTGTCTCTTGCAGGTGTGCCAAAGTTCAACAGAGACTTGTTTCCCTTTTTCAATGTCTACAACAACCTTTGCCCTGTAGTCACTTCATAGGCTGACCCCACACAGATATGCCGCCTGCAATCTGTGAATGCTCACAGCAAGAACATGAGGCTAATTAGGGAGGCCCCTAAACGCTATGGCTGGTGTCCCGGGAGTGATGAAGCTATCGTCACGTGATGTCATGTGATGTCAGCCAAGGGATGCCAAGTGCTGCTGGCTTCGACCAGAACGCAGAAGGAACCGTCGAGGATTGACTTCCCCATACGTCTGGCTTCCTGTGCTAGGAAGCGGTAAATGCGTTGTTTGTGCTAAGTTTGTGATGACAGCCCAGACTGACTAACACACAAAAGCGAAGTGAAGGAAAACAGGGACCGGGGAGAGTTAGAAAGAAGAGCTTCTCTTTGTGGGTTAGTTAGCTAATGCATCAGTGCTAATCTTCAGTTGGGAAGATCGCAGAGCAGCCCCGTACGGTCCCTTGAAAAGGATCCAAGAGTAGATTTTCCTGCCTTGTTCCTTATGTCCTTCATTATTTAAATAGTTTCTGTTATTGATCAGTCAGCTGCTTTTCAATATTCTTGGTCGATGTCTGATTTGTACTTTTATATTTATATTTTACCCCAGCTACTCTGTCCTTTCCTGTTTTATTTGTTTCTCAATATTTCACTCTGTAACCTAATGCAAGTGCATAAACAGTATTAGTCACATGCGTTTTTTTTTTTTTTTTTTACAAACAGGGCACTTTAAAAGCACTAATTACCTGCAATGTATCTTTTAGGTCCAACTAAATCTATTTTCCAAGGCTCTGACTTACTTTCTTTAAACAATATTAAAAATCAGGCCTGTTTGAAATAATCACTTGGGCAACACTTTTAATCTCAGCATCCAGGAGGCAGAGGCAGGCAGATCTCTGTTGAGTTCAAGGCCAGCCTGGACTGCCAGTGAGCACCAGGCCAGCAAGGGCAGCATGGTGTGAACTATCTCAAAAATAAAAAAAAAAAAAAAAAGTAAATTTTAGTTGTTTCCTTTGCAAAATTGATCTTCTCCAAATAGCACAAATTAAGTGCTCATACTCACATTTTTTTCCCAAATAAACAAACAACACTTCTAAGGCCTTACAAACTGTAATATGTACGGAGTCCAAACTCACACATGCCTATCAAGAACCGTCACGCACTACCCAACTTCCCGGCATGATCTCATTTTATAAACTTCTCTGACACAAACAGCTCCACCACATTTCACAATTTTCTGAAAATCCAAGTCTCCCAAAGAAGACTTCCCTTTTATATTTAGTAGCCGAGTAACTGAAAACAAAAACAAAAAACAAGTTCCAAAGCTGGGGTATGTGGGGCCTGCTCATTGACCAGAAGTCTCATCCGCCCTCCCCCCCCAAAAAAAAAAACCATTCTGACTGCCTTTGAGCGTTAAGATCCATCTGTGTTCCCCTGCCTTTGATGAACGTGGTATTTACAAGTCAAATCCAAGGTCATAATCAACAGACAGAGGAGGTAGAGTTACTCACTTGAGTGTGGTGAGCTCTGTGAGGGAGGGTTGTGTAGCCTTGAGATAGCTTTCTCTCCTTGCGGCCACTTTGGGGGAAGGCTTGGGACTCGTGTCTGAGTCCCCGCTGTCCTCGTCCCCCATGGCCTTGATGTAGCTGCCACTTCGCATCCTTCGGCATGGAATCTCATCATCTTTCCCGCGAGGCGTGTACCCTGTCCATTCATCTTGGGGAACCTAGTCGGACATAAAAGAGACGGATCATAGTTCACTTTCAATAAGATCGAACTTTTAAAAGTTTTTCTTTTCCTTGTCCCTTTATTTTTTTATTTTATTTATTTATTTATTTATTTATTTATTTATTTTTTTGTATGACTCTGGCATAGAGATAAATTATCTAACCCTTAGACGTTCATTTTTTTTTTTTTTTGATATTAAAGCTTTACTGTTACCGTTTTTGAAACTTATTTTTAACACATGCGCACTCACGTTGCAATTGTAGTCAATCACAGAGCATCTGGAAAGTGGGGCCCTCTGGCTCTGGTAACTTAACACTTCTCAACTTTCTCACAGTTACAAGTAGCCCAGGTGGAAGAATGTGATAGGGAGGAAAGTCCTTTGACTTGAACTTCTCACCTACGGTCCTCCATCAGCACCGGGGAGTCGGGGATATCCCCGCCCCGCCCCCCTCCCGACCCCTCCCATTCATCCTGGCTTCTCTGACTTCACACCTACCCCCATCCCATGTCTGCGCTCTTCCCTTCTTGACCACTGCTCTGTTTCGGCTGCATTTACTTTCCACTCACCCATTCTTCCTGAGCTCTTACTAGTTTATACCTGGTCTCAGCCATGGCGTTTTCGTAACGGCCAATTGCCTTATGTCAGTATTCGCACTTGCTGGCTCTCCAGCACTGTACTTGCTGAAACCATCTCCCCGTTGCACCCTGCTTGCGCTAAGACGCGGCAGAGTTAGAGTCAGTAACTCCAGCTTTGCTGGATCCTGTTCTACACTCCTCCCTGTGGAGTCCACACAGACGATGCCGTCAGTGCATCGCTTTCCCACGGTTTCCTTCTCCGTTAAGCCTAGCAGGGCATTACATACTTTGTTTTACATTTGTTGCATTATGACACCACTTTCAAGTCCCTTTACCTTCTACGCAAAGTTCGACCCAGTCCCTATTCAGCCTCCATTGGCGAAAGAAAACACATAATGACCACGGGCTTTATCCTTCAAGAAGTAAAAAGAGCCCACCATGCATGGTGCCCTGCATGGGGCTTAATCAAGAGACAATCCAGGGCTTTACCACTGACATGCTTTACAAAGGGGACGAGCAGATACATGAACATGGGACTACCTCTAAATTAACATGCTTGTAAGTTGAAGATGCAGCGCCATAATGGGATATGCACTAAGAGATGCTAGAAGCATGGCCCTGTCAGTAATGAAAATGGAAGAGCTTTGGCCAGGTTTGCAATGGTAAGGTAAAATGAATATGTATGCATTTGCATACATACACATACACACATATATGTATATGTATGTGTGTGTGTGTGAGGGTCTCATGGGCAGGCTGTAACTCTCTGTGTAGCCCAAGCTGGCTTGGGACTCTCAGTCCACTCAACCTCTTGTATCTGAGATTAAAGGTGGGCACCAACGTATCCATGATAAGACATTAGCTCCACGCATACCGGGACTTGATATTTAGATGCTAAGTAGTTTCTGGTCATGGAAAGTGACACAGTTTAAGTATGCTAAGCAATTTGCTCCCAGTAACTTATTTTATCAGTGTAACTCTGTGTTTTTATTTTCTTTTCATAATTTTCCTACGAAAAGCTGGAGCTCAGAGAGCTGAAGGCACTGGACAATGGACATAAGGAACACCTTGGGACTGAAAATTGCTCAAGTTGTCTCACTCCAGGCAGTCCCCTTGTCCAGGAGCAGCTGGCTAAGGCTTTTTTTTTTCTTTTTTTTTTTGTTACATTTGTTTTGGCAATTTTTATCTTACTTTATTGTGGTTGCTGTTTGCTTGTTTTGATATTATTCTTTGTATGCTGGTTTTTAGAGAGAGGAAGAAGAGAGAGAGAAAGAGGGAGACAGAGAGACAGAGACAGACACACAGACAGAGAGAGAGAGAAAGAGAAAGACAGAGAGAGAGACAGCAAGCAGACAGACAGACAGACACACACACAGAGATAGAGATAGATAGAGAGTGTTAAAATTGGGCATGCATGGAGGATCTGGGAGGAGTTGGAGGAGGGGAAACCTGATCAAAACACATTGTATAAAACATTAAAGAAAAAAAGAGTAACGTGCTGACTGTATCTGAAATAAAATCTGGAAAACGTAAGGGTGTTCCAGTCATACTTCAAAAATCAGAACTTTTTTTTTATTATTATGAGAAATAGTCTGTGAATTTGAAACTTCAAATTGTTAAGAAAATTGCCCATGATGACTGTTATCTACCTTGGACATAGATTTCTAAACATTATCCACTGTAGAAAGTGAAATTACACATTCACTACCAGAAGCACTGTTCTTCTCCTTAAATCATGGGCTTCTCTGTGAAATCAAAATGCCATCAACTGCTAATAGCCCCTCATCCAGGGGTGGAGCTTTGTGAGTCGTCTCCCCTCATCCATGCTGGAAGCTGACCGGCTTGATCTTGGGCAGGTATCCAGAGCTGCCATGGGTCTACAGCTTTGTCATGTCCTTAAGACATTCTTATTTCTTAGCAGTCTTCCCCAAAGCCTTCTGGTTGTTCCCTGAGCCATGAGGAAGGGGTACAATACAAAGGTACCATATAAGGTGGAGGACTCTCCAGTCACTCCCTTATTCTCTGCACTTTGACCATCTGTGAGTCTCTGCATTAACTGTCATCTAATGCAAAATGAATCTTCCCAAGTGAGGGGTGCGAGTTGGACCCTGCAGAAGCGGAGGTGGAGAGTGTGTTAAAGAGTCAGAGAGGAGGAGGACTCCAGGAGAACAAGGCCCCTAAATCATTAACCCAGCAAAGTTCATACGGACTACAGAGACTGAAGCGGCAAACGCAGGGCCTACACAGGTCCTCTACATATTGTAGCTTTCAGCTGAATATTTTTATGGGACCCCTTAGTGTGTGAATGAGTGAGTCTCAGATTCTTGCACCTGCTCTTGGGGCTCTTTTCCTTCTGCCGATTTGCCCTGTTCAACTTCAGTGTGATGCTTTTACTTAATCTTATGTTTTACTTTGTTACGTTTGGTGGTTAGCTCTTAGAAGCCTGCTCTTTTTTTTAATGCTATACAGAAAGGGAGTGGATCTGTATGGGAGGGGACAGGGTTGGGGCCGGGAGGAGTAGCAAGAGGGTATAGCATGAATAATAAAAGCCCAGAGACAGATATCGGGGTTGAAGATGAAGAGAAGAAAAGCAAAGCAGCCAAGCCAGTAGCTCGTACCTCTACCAGGGCTGGGGAGATCCTGTCATCAATGTGGCTGGAGACTAAGTGCTTAAGACTCAATAATGAATGCCCCATGAGTCCCCCCGAGCTTCTTCTTATACACCTTTCTAGTGCTGGGATCAAAGGTATGAGCTCTGTTTCTCTTTTGGACTGATTCACTGTCACATAGCTCTGGGTGGCCTTGAACTCATAGAGATCCATCTGCCTCTGTTTCCTGAGTCCTAGGATTAAAGGTGTGTGCCACCACTGCCTGGCCTCTATGGCTGTGGCTAGCTTTAGATTCTGATCTCCAGGCAAGCTTTATTAGATCATAAACAAATGTATCACCACACGAGGGTAAACTGCAACCAGTATATATTGTAAGAGAAAAGGTTCTACTTTCAATAAAAGGAAAAGGAGATAACTTTTTGGGAGACAGTTTGCTACTATGTCCACTAAGCAAAACAATAGTAGTAGGTTCACTCCTAGGGTCTGTGAACTCCTCCGCAATGGGCTCTTGCCATGTTTACAGTAAAAAGAATGAGTTATTTCCTTTGGAGCAAGCCTCAAATCCAAGGAGAAGGATGTTGGTTACCTCTACAATACGCATGCCACCATTGCACTGGTGGATTTGTCTGGGTAGGCTTGCCATTACATTCATACACAGCTAGGTAGTAAGATCATCGATGTCTTTTTCCCCCAAGCAGCCTGAACAGTTTTGGTACTGTAAAAGCTAGGCACCATGGGGGATTCTTTGAGGTAAATGCCAGTGTCGATTCTGTGATCTTTCCTGTGACGAAGTAAGTAGCAGGCACGTCCAAGTCACCACTTCCAATTTCTTATGCAGAGCTCATGGTGTGCAGATGCTGTCTGGAATCTGCTGTGTCAGTAACTTTGAGCCACATGCTAAATGGGTGATAGTGTTTTCCCCTCGCTTTACAACAGAGGGGACTCAGTCCTTGGAGCTAGGTCATGCTACAGGTGTGAAGGGCAGAGTCTCAACAGGCCAGTGCCTGGGCCTTACTACTGGCCAGTATTTGATGGGGATTTTCCTTCTGGGCTGTGTTTGCTGCACCTGTTGAACTGTGTAATTATGGTCCTCGACACAATCATAATTCATCACATACCATGCATCTGTCATTCACTAACCATGCCAGTAGCCACGTAGACTTTCCATTTTCCTGAGCTAAAGAGCCCCAGGATCACCACAGCAACAAGGCTTTCTCAGAGAATTATAAGTGATGAGAACAATCTTGTTTCCCTTCAGTTGGCAAGTGACTCATTGCATAGCTATGATCACGTTCAGATGATCTCGTCATCAGCTTAGCAATTGCATCCTAAAAATTAACAACAAGCCAGGGTCACTGATGGCCCCGCCACATGCCACTTCTCAACACCCATGTGAGGTTCATAAGCGTTACTTTCTGGAATACATTAGAGATGAATGACAAACTGATTAGCTAATATGCCAATTTCTGTTCAGGTGCTTTGCAAACTTAGCTCAAGGCAGAAGAAACCTGGGCTCCAGTAAAAAAATAGTCTGCAATCGTTGCTAGGGGAACGGGCTGAGAAGTGTTCAATCTGTATGCCTTTCAATTAATCATTCTTTTCAAATGATAGTGGTAAAAGAATTGTACCGACGTGGCTCTCCACCGGAGTGGAGCATAAATATTAATATATTATTCATCCACTTAAAGGAAGCATACAGCAAGATTTCATATAAAATAACAAAGAAGTTAGTTCCAGAAATATGTAGATGTAGAAAACACAGACCCTGGAGAAGAAAAATTCCATTGCTAAACTGTTAGGATGAGCAAAATTG